GAGTGACCGTTTTGATCATCGCCTTTGGTATAACACTCCCAGCTTGTTTGATGGGGAGATACAGGTTCAGTGTTTGGGGCTTGATAGTCACATGCATTAGCCTGGCATTTCTTGATCTTGGCCTTCAACCATCAGCCACATAAGATTCCATATAAATTTGTTTCTCAGATCTCTTGGACTTACTTGGCCTATCTGTTCTCTGGGGGTTTGGGTGGGGCCTTTCTTGTTTCTCTCTGGTTTGTTTCCTGTTTGTTGTTTCTCAACACTGAACTAGGCCTGAGGTGTTGATGTCAAAGCTAGCCGGACAGAGACAGCGTCTTGAGGGCTCGCTGCTGGGTCTGGCACTAGGATCTGGCACCGAGGGCCAGATGCTGTGATGTTTTTCAAAGCTGTGGACCAGGGCATCCAGGCTCAGGGATCTTATTTTCAGTGAGCTTGTGGTCAGATTGCTTTACATGTTTTTGTTTTGTTTCTTACCTTTGGAATAGGAAAGAACATGAAATAATTGCATATTGCAAAAGGACTAGAAAAGATTCTTTAGAACTGCTGATTCAGGCATGTCAAGACCAATCACCTCATTGTCATCTGTAAAACAAAACCAGTAATGGTATCCCATGTTTTTTATACCTCCAAGGATACTGTGAATACTCATTTTACTCAGGAGCTATAAAATGCAACTAAATCTTTAGAGGTAAGATTTATGTGTTTATTTATAAAATCTTTGTTAACAATTCTGTGTATCAAAGATTGGCCACTGCTAAGTAAGGAAGCCATTCCCTGGCCTTAATTCTTCTACAGACTGAGGGAAGTTACTTTGTTACCCTTGGCTCTTGAGTATTACCTGATTTCCAGGGCAGAGTTCTATTAAATGAGTGTCATCTAAGAATCAAGGTGGGGGCTGGGGATGTGGCTCAAATGGTAGCGCGCTCGCCTGGCATGCGAGCGGCTCTGGTTTGATCCTCAGCACCACATACAAACAAAGATGTTGTGTCCGCCGAAAACTAAAAAATAAATATTAAAAAATTCTCTCTCTCTCTCTTTAAAAAAAAAAAGAATCAAGGTATGTCTCAGCTGGGTGCAGTGGCACACCTGTAATCTCAGCTACCCTGGAGACTGAGGCAGGAGGATTGCAAGTTTAAGGCCAGCCTGGGCAGCTTAGTGAAACCATGTCTCAAAATAATTATTAAAGAGAGAGACAAAAAGAATCAAGGTATCTCTCAAGTAGCTTATGGTCAGAGAGACTTTGTTATTTTGATAAGAAATAGGGTGAGTTATCAGATGATATATTTTGGACTTCAATTCGTAGAAAACATGAATGTATTAGCCTGAGTAAAAGGTTCAGCTCCTGTAACAAGAAATCCAACAATAGTGTGGTTTAAAACTGAAGTCTGTTTATTTATTTATTTAGGTCATGTACTAGTTTAGGGTGGATATTTTCCATGTAGGTATGGGAGAAGAAGCTCATGGCAGCTGGGATTGTTTACCCCATAGTGGAATTTCTGCATCATATAATAATTCTAAATTTTTGAGGAACTTCCTGACTGTTTTCCACAATGGCTACACCATGTTACTTTCCTAGCATCTACAACATAGATTCTGTCTTTTGGTCATTGCTGTTTCAGTCCATAGGGAATAAATATTTGAGAGACATGGGTCCCAAGCTAGTAAGTGGCACACATCCCTCTTGCTCACATTCCATTGGCAAGAATTTAGTCATTGGGCTGGGGATGTGGCTCAAGCGGTAGTGCGCTTGCCTGGCATGCTTGTGGCCCGGGTTCGATCCTCAGCACCACATACAAACAAAGATGTGTAGTGTCTGCCGAAAACTAAAAAATAAATATTAAAATTCTCTCTCTCTAAAAAAAAAAAAAGAATTGAGTCTCAGACAAGAACTGAACTGAATCATGTGGCTAAGTCCCAGCATAGAGGAGCCAGGCAGTGTCATAGCTAGGCAGCCATATATCTAGCTGTTCTTCTATCACAATAGAAGAAGGGGAGAATGGGTTTTTCATAGATAGCAGTCTTTGTCATAGTTAGCCTCTCTAGCCACCAACTATCAGTGAATGCCCTATTTCCTACTGGTAGAACAAACTGGCTTTATTTCAGGACACAAACAAAGCCCTATCGGTAAATAACCCACCTAAAAAGCCCATGGTCTCTGGGTTATACACACCCTCTTTGCCATGAGGGTCAGACGTGGTTCCTAACGGCCTCCCCACCTGGAACTGAAAGGCAAGTTATCTCCCCTTCTATTCACACCCCACTTTGCAGCCCACTGTCTGCTGGTTCCAATGTATAGAGAGTAGGCAGCCATAGGTATTATTGGCTTGGCTGTGGTCCCTTTGCTAACAGCTGTCTCAGGAGCTCACCTGGCTTCTACTCACTTCCAGCTGGTACACATGCCAGTGATCTCCCCAGTGTTCTTTTCTTTTCTTTCTTTTTTTTTTTT